CTGCTGCTGCTGCTGCTGCTGCTGCTGTACAAGCAGCAGCAGCAGCAGCAGCAGCAGCAGCAGCAAAAGCAATAAACTAGCATACAAGCAAACAAGGAGACAGATATACTGTGTACATAAACCTTATTCTCCAGCAGCAGCAAAACTTCTGCTGCTGCTGGAGCTATTGCTGCAGTGCTGCTGCTGCAGCACTGCAGCAGCAGCAGCAAGATATTCTGCAGCAAGACATTGTGTTAACTGTCTGTCTCTTTATGTCCATCAATTTATTCCTTCAATCACCACCATTTGCTGCTGCTGCTGCTGCTGCTGCTTGCTGCTGCTGCTGCTGCTTAATTCCCCGCCTGCACACATATACAGCAGCAAAAAAAAAAAGCAAAAGAATAAGACACGACCCTGAACCTGTTGCTGCTGCTGTTTTTTGCTGCTCTATCTACTGCTGCTCCTGTTGCTATTGCTGCTGCTGCTGCATGCATGCATGCATAATATATATATATATATATATATATATACTTACGTGATTTGTTTAGCAACTTCTGTATATCCATCATGATTAATAGAGTTATTAGGTTGTATTTTATTAGGAGACTCCGTCAATTCACCACGTAAATTCCTCTCAAACATTTCCTTCAATTTTAATCCTGTATAACCTTTTCCTATACAAAAAAATATAAACCCTAAACCCTAAACCCTAAACCCTAGAAAACCCTAAACCCTAGAAAACCCTAAACCCTAAAAAACCCTAAACCCTAAAATTGAGTGTCTAGAGTGTTTTAAATATTTTATTTTATTTTTAAAAAAATTGAAAATTTTTTTAATAGAAAAAGTCGAAACCCTAAACCCTAAACCCTAAACCCTAAACCCTAAACCCTAGAAAACCGTAAACCCTAATAAAGCCTAATAAACCCATAAAAAAAAAGGTGATAATTGTTTACCCATTAAATAATATAATTTAGCAACAATAGCCTCCTTGGTCATATCTTTAGCACAAATAACACCAAGAGAAGAGATCCAGATACCGTTCTCATAGATAAGTAGGTTAGTAGCTCCCTGCATGCATTGTGTAGTAATAATAATATTAATATTTTTTTCTTTTATTGCTTTTTTTATTATATTAAGAAATAAAGGATTACTAGGTGCTGTACCTGCACCATATAACTCAATAATAACAGAGAAAGGGCGTTTTTTATATAAAAAAATATAATCTAATACATCTATAGGTATACCAGGACATAATTTAATAGTACATACACTACAAATTATATCTTTAAATACAATTAAATCTTCTTCTTTTCTTCCTTTTGTTGCTGCTGCAGTTGCTGCAGTTGCTGCTGCTGCAGTAATTAATTCTTTTTTTCCTCCTTTTCCTGATTCTTTTGATGGGTCTAATGATAGATGTATAGATTCATCTTCTTGTTGTTGTTTTTCTTCTGCTGCTGTTGCTGCAATTGCTGCAGCAGCAGCATGAGGTGTAGCACCTATACCTGCTGCAGCAGCAGCAGCAGCAGCATAATTAATATGATTTTGTATCCTTAATCTATCATGAATAATAATATCTACACCTGCAGATCCAATAGGAGGAAAATTAGGGGAAGAAAATGCATCAATAGATGCACAATTTATTTTTGTTACTCTTGTTCCTCTAAGGATTAAGGATCCAAATACAATACATACTTCTTTTATATCTGCATACCCTGCTACCATCAGACTTAATCCTATATTCCTTTTTGCGTCACTAGATATATGCACTGCATGCCCACACACACACACATATACATATCTACATATATACATATATATTA